CCATAGTTGCTTTAATAATGATCTCCTTTCCTAGTTTGAAGCATAGTACGTGTGAATTGAAACGACCCTTCAGGCCTGCTGCGCAAATTCTTCTCCCTGATAACAAATTGACTCCAAGGTTAGGTACAAGCAGTACTTCTGACAACCATGTCGACGATCCGTCTTTACACACCACTTGAGCTTCTCCTTTCCAGTCTGCATATAATTCTCCCCCTCCAACCCGAACTAGTCTTCGCTTGATCTTGATCATTCGTCTAAACAATGAGGGTTGGTCAGACATGTGGGAGGAGGCGCCAGTGTCGGCAGCCCAAGTAGATGGAGAGGCCTTACCGACAATGTCTTTTGAGAGACGGCATGTCTCAATTTCCTCGGGTTCAGAGTCTGAGGTCTCGGATAATTCATCTGACTCTGAATTGACTTCTTCGGCTCCATATGCTTTGCCAGTCTTTTTGTGAGAATTCCTTTGCTTGAGTGTCTTAATAGGCGGCTTAGATGATTTCTTAGCGTCGTATTCCTTAAGGAGCTTTCGAGCTCTCTCACGTCTTGGACAGTCTCGTACGCCATGGGCTCCGTCACAAAGGAAGCATTGGACCATAAACTTAGTACCAGATTCGGAGTCAGACGATAGTGGTGAGCTCTTGTGATTTCGGCGCTTGTAAGGCGGAACATACTTCTCCGTCTTCCGGAATGCTGGGAGAGCTTTTTCGTCGGCGTCTTGCTGGTCTCGAACCTCCTTCTCTTCCAGAAACTTAAGTTTCTGTTCAACCGTAAGGTTAAGTTGGGCGTTTAAGGTGTCAATCGTAGTCTTAAATTCTTTCGGGAGTGATCTAATAAGAACGAGTAGTAGTGCAGAGTCCTTGTAAGCTCCGTTGGTGTCAGCGTCTGCTGCTACGAGTTTGCGTCGGTATTCCTTTAGCTTTTCCCATGATCCAACAATTGTGTTCCCAGGATTGAATGTGAACGTTTGAATTCTGGTCATGTAAATGTTGGCGGTTGTGGCGTCAGTTTGGGTGTACTTCTTTTGTAGGTAGGCCCAGAACTGGAAGGCAGTGTCGTATTCGTCAATAAGGGCTTGGTCATCTTCAGTAAGCGACCGAAACAAGAGATCGATTGCAGTGGCTTCATCTTCTAGGTACTTGTCTCTTTTTTCAATGTTGACGCGGATCTTAGTATGCTTGTCTGCTTCAGCAATTTCCAACTCTTCCATAGCCTCCGTTAGTTCACCGGCTATTGCTATTTGGCAGTGCTGTACCAGGTTTTTCTCGCAGACATAGAAGACTTTCTTCCCCTTAAGCTTGACCTTGTTTCGGCGGAACCAAGTATCGTGGTTTTCAGCTGTAAGTTGGGGAATCTTCCATTCTTCCTTCTCTACAGCCATCTTGTGTGTTTTGAGTTGGTGAGACTATTATGCGAGCAAGGTACGTGGTATGATGCTAAGAGTGTAGGTGATGCGGGCGATGCGGGCGATACAGGCGATGCGGGCGATGCGGGCGATCCGGGTGATATTCTGCGGGCGGTGCAGTCGTTATCGGTTCTCGGGTGTAGAGACGGTGTATTTAAGTGTGATTGCGTGTTAACCGCGTTGTACACGACTTCTTTTCTTTTCTGATTCCTTCTTGAATCTAAGTCCTTCGTGACTTGGGTGGATGTTTTGATTCCTTCTTGAATCTGAGTCCTTCGTGACTCGGGTAGGTGTTTGAAAACAATAACGTTGGGTTAGGCAACCGGGCTCATAACCTGTTAGAACAAGGTCTCCTCTGGTGGTATGACTACCATAGGCGACCGAGTAGAGGTACGAAAGGTAACCCTGTATTGGATTGAACTTCACTAAGAGCTATTGTTCTATCTACTTGTTGTTATGATGATCTTAGGACGTACATGACAGATCATCATTCCGCGTCGGTCCTTCTGCTCGGGCTTACTCCACGAACCTCACCTCGCCGACCTGGACTGAACCTAACATATTCTTAACAGTTATCGTTATTTCCTTTCAGCACTAGTGCTATAGACCTACCAACAATAGTGCTTATATAAGAAGCTATCTGTTATATAGCTATATAATCTCTAGAATTGTCAGATAATAGCACTGTTGAAGATGAGTGTAAAGGCACTAGTACACTGCAATAGTTAGGATGCCTCTAATAAGTGAGATTGTGTGTACAGATCTATATACAAGTACGAGGGGAACTTTATTATTCCTCGCACGGGCCAACTGCCAGCGTGGCACGTGGTTGTATGGCACGTGATCGCGTGAGGGATCGTAGGTTTGATCCATCACAATGAGAGCGTACAGACGCTGGGTTAGACTAGCGCGACCCGGCATCTGTGAGAGCCAATCGGATCACAGGAAGGCTTGGCACCCCCTAGGTGTGCCCACAACCGTAGACAGAACCAAGACAATCAATCATCAATATCATCACCATCATTACCTATTTCGTCAGTATTCCAGATGAGAGTGAATATCTGACAAGAATATATACTCTTCTCCCTTTAAGCGTATATACATAATAATAGCGTCGTCTTTCTAGTTAATACTCCAACTAACATGATCCATGGGCGAGCGGCGCACACGGGCGAGCGGCGCACCCCACCAACTTTACTCACCTTACTGATCTTAATCTACAATGGCTCAACGCAGCGCTACTCAATTACTATCAAATGAAGCAGATATTCAGCTTGCTATCTCATCTATTAATGCGCACCAGATCCAAGGTACCCGTACTGCTGCAGTAGTCTACAACGTAGCCGAAACAACGCTCCGCCGCCGACGCGCTGGTATACCTGCCCGACGCGATTGCCCGCCCAACTCAAGGAAGCTTACCCAGAGAGAAGAGGAGGTGATTATTAGCTATATACTTCAGCTAGATCTGCGTGGATTTGCGCCTACCTACACAGCTGTACGTGATATGGCTGATAAGCTGCTGGCTGCGCGTGGTGGAGAGCAGGTTGGAGTCAACTGGCCATCTACCTTTGTTAAGCGTACAGACAGTCTTCGGACGTGTTTCAACCAAGCGTACGATAGGCAGAGAGCTCTTTGTGAGGATGCAACATTAATAAAGAGGTGGTTTAAGCTTGTAGAAGAGACAAAGGCTGAGCTAGGTATCTGCGATGAGGACGTCTACAACTTTGATGAAGCTGGCTTTATGATGGGCAAGATTACAACGCAGCTAGTTATAACAGGAGCAGAGAGGAGAGGCAGGCCGAAGAGTATTCAGCCAGGCAATCGCGAGTGGGTAACGCTGATCGCTGCTATCAGCGCTGCTGGCTGGTCAGTCCCACCGTTCCTCATCTTCGCTGGCCAGTACCACCTATCAGCCTGGTATAAGGAAGCTGAGATCCCACGCGACTGGGCGATCGCAGTCAGCGATAATGGCTGGACGAATAATGAGCTTGGAGTTGAGTGGCTAAAGCACTTCAACGCTCACACGCAGGCTCGTAGTGTAGGCGCGCGTCGCCTGCTTATTATTGATGGCCATAAGAGCCACCAATCTCTAGAGTTCCAGGAGCTCTGCAAGGAGAACAATATCCATACGCTCTGTATGCCTCCTCACTCATCTCACCTACTCCAGCCACTTGATGTTGGCTGCTTCTCGCCATTGAAGCGCGCGTACAGCCGTGAGGTGGAGAGCCTTATGCGCAACCACATCAACCACATCACCAAGCTAGAGTTTCTGCCAGCGTTCAAGGCAGCATTTGATCAAGCGTTCACGCCAGCCAATATCTGCTCAGCCTTCCGCGGCGCAGGCCTTGTTCCTCTACAACCAGAGGCTGTTCTATCAAAGGTAGATGTACAACTGCGTACACCTACTCCTCCAGCAGCTCTGCCAGAGGCTCCCTGGGTAGCTCAAACGCCGAGCAACGCGCGTGAGCTTGAGGCTCAGTCAAGCCTAATACGTGAGCGCGTGCGCCAGCACAAGAGCTCATCACCAGCTTCAATTATTATGGCGATTGACCAGCTAAAGAAGGGCGCCGAGGTGATGATGCTCTCTGCTGAGCTGATGCGCGATCGGATCTCTAGTCTTGAGAAGGCCAATAGCGCAGCCTCAGAGCGTAGGCGGCGCTCTAAAAGGCGTATACAGAAGCATGGAGTACTCACAAAGGGAGCTGGAGAGGATATACTGGCTCAAAATGAGGCTGACCAGCAGATTGCTCATGAAGAGCGTCAAGGAGGAGCGCGATCAGGCCTCAGCCAGCGGGCTCAAAGGCGCTGCACTAGGTGCAAGGAGACTGGGCACAACTCGCGCACATGCAAGACTGATACTATTAATATAGAGTAATCTACTGTATCAATATCTAGCAATAATATTATCGCGTTGTTGAGATGCATCGCTTTAAAGTTGCAAAAGTTGGTGGGGTGCGCCGCTCGCCCGTGTGCGCCGCTCGCCCATGGATCATGTTAGAGCTTTTGGCTAGATATAAAACTATTGGAACAAGGTCCCTCTAGTAGTATGACTACCATGGATAACCGAGTGGTAGGAGGGACAAGGCGGGGTGGCTGCAACGTATTGTATTGACTATCGTATTGAGTGTCACAGACTCACTCTGTTGTGGTGGGTGCTATTGCCCACTAGGCAATGCCTGCCACACCAGCATATCATGTGACTCCCAAGCACCTTCTACCCTGGACTGAACTCAGATATTCTCAACAAAAACCTAACTTTCCGGTCTAGGCTTCCTGTAGCCTAACCAAGTATCCCAAGTCTGATCCCCGTGACAATGAAATCCAAAATACCCTTGACATGACCGTAAATCCCCTCCGCTAACTAGCCGGATATAAAACCCGGCTTTCCAGTTGAGACTTTCCATACCCCGAAGAAATTATCCCATGCCCGTCTATCGTGAAATGACAACCGAAACACCTTTTTTCAACATGCTAACCCCTCCGCTAAATTCGCCAGAATATAAAACCCAGTCAGCTTTCGTGTGTATGCCTTCCGTAGCTCCCTAACCCCTCCACCCCTGCAACCCCCATCACAACTCTCACTCCTCCTCCACAGCCCTTAAATCCTTCCAACCTTTCCACCCTGCAACCGTGCCATCTTCCTCCCCCTCCTACCCTCTCCACCTTCACCATCCACATCCACATCATTCTCAAACCCATCGTTCATCTTGCGGCCTCGTACAATCGGACCCAGTCGAGCTAGCTGTTCATGGAAGCGGACTTCACCCGATGGAGTAGGTTGGGTGCGCTGTTTCCTGTAGGTGGTGGTGGTGGTGGTGGAGTGGGAGGTGGCGGAAGAAGAAGAGGTGGTGTTAGTGGGTGAGGAGGAGCCAGAGCCGGAAGAGTCAGAGTCGGAGACGGAGGAGTCCAGCGAGGGGAAAGATCGCTTGGTGCTGAGGGCTAAAGTGGTAGGGGATGGGTGGGTGATGAACTTGTGTTTGGGCTTTTTGTTGCGGTTGTTGTGGGTGGACTGGGATGGTGATGTCGATGTCGAGGATGAAGAAGAAAAAGACCGCTTCTTCCCACGCGTCACGTCGGTGATGGGTTCCAGACACGACGTCAACTTCGTCTTCATCTTCTTTCCCTCCCGCACCTCTCCGTCAGCCAGCACATCATCCGCCCGCCCCTTCCTCTTCTCCCTCCCACTCGCATTCGCTCTACCCACCGCCTCATCCGCGGCCTTCAAGGCATCTTCCTCCATCATCCTCATCTGCCTCCTCTCCCACCCCCCCTGCATCTCCCCCACCATCTCCCTCAAATCCAACGTCTCCACCTTCCTCGGCCCCTCGGACCCCACACAATCCTCCCTCCCATACCCCTTGTGCAAAAACGCCATCACAGCATCCGCGACACCGCCCTTAACCCTCGGCAGCGTACGCGTGGCAAGCTCAACAGCATACGCGATACCCACCGACGCATCAACGCCCTGCATTTCCTTCACCTTCGCCGCCTCGCCCTTGCCGTTGAAAACGTCATCGATGGCGGCACGACACGTCGGACAAGTAAACGGCGCGGTGTCTTGAACGGGAGTCTTGCAGTTACGGCCGCAGGGCAGGGCGCTGAAGACGTAGTGGCCGCAGAGGAGGTGGTGGTGGTTTTCGCTGCCGCAGGGGAGGAGGGACGTGTAGTCGGCGGCGTAGTACCGGATTCCGCGGAAGGTTCCGGCGTAGGTTTCGGGGAGTGGGTAGGAGGGGGTGGAGGTTTCGTAGGTTATTTCGTCGACCCAGTTGGGAGTTGTGGAGAGGGGGTGGCGGGGGATGGTGGGCCTGGCGGTGGTGGTAGTGGTGTGCTGCGGATTTTGTGTGGTGTTCTGAGGGGCGGTGTTGTTGTTGTTTACCTCTGCGGACTCATTTGTAGGTTCGGATGCGTAATATTGGTTTGTGGGTGACGCTGGGGGTGTAGGTAGAGTGGGCGCGTCTGTCATGTCGACATCCGCAGGCTCATAGGCGGAAGCACCATCGCAAGCGGTGTTGATGTGAGCGAGGTCACAGAGAGGGACATATGGTGGCGATATGTCACCAAGGTGGCGTGTGGATTTTTCTGCGATGTCTGCTGTAGACTTTGGTGCGTCCACTGGACGACCGAATGATGGCCATTGAACCGGTGGTTCTATAGACCTTGCATAACTTGTTGGGCGAGACGCATAGTTGAAAGCGGCCCGGTAGTCTGGCGAAGATGTCGCAGAGCTACTATCCGCTGGTGGTGTCGATGTGGTTAAGGATGATGTCGCGCTCGTCTCTGTGCTGAGAGCCGGCGCGCTGGTTTCTGGCTGTGTCTCCGCTACCTGTGTGGTAGTAGCAGCAGAGGGAATTGCTTTGGAAGCACCCAAGAGGCGTCCGAGTGCGCGGAAGATGTAGAACATGGTTGTGGTAAACAGTGGTGTTATGCGGTGTGGTGAGAACAAGGTGATATAGGCTGGTGGTCAAGTGGTCAAATATATAGGAACAAGCGCTAAGAGAGGGACGCGCTGGCCAAGACTTATCAGGGTATTGCCCGCTTGACAATGTGTTTACGCATTGCGCATGTTTGACAGCGCCAAGGCGAGTGGAAGCTGCACGTGGTGTCGATTGACGGTGTCAACACGTGATGCAACGGCGGTAGCCTGTGGCGAGGACCCCTTCTTTCACTGCGCGACCAATTAGCAGTACGATAGTTGACAACACAAGGACAGTAAGAGATTGCGATGATGTCATGGTAGAATGTATTTGTACTTGTACTTGGTCACCTCAGTTATTTGAGTGCATCCGCCGGATCATTGACGGCAGCGTGGGACGTCGGCGCATCAACTCCAGGCTGCTCATGGCTTGCCAAAGCATCCAAAACCTCCAGCCCCAGCTCTGACCGCGGTCCGGTGAAATTCTTACGTCCGTCGACAAGCCATTGGAAGGTACTGATGAACAGGATGATGGTAAAAGCGACGACGCAATAGTCTGGAACAGTTAGCTTGGAAAACACATACACCTAGAAGTACTCACTCATGTTGGAGGTTGTTACTGGTAGCACAGGCGGAAATAGGAACATGACGGTGGTCACCGTTGTGTACGAGATACCGAGTATGTTTGCAGCCCAGCCGATAGGTCCGGGTAGAACAAAAGCTCTTGGGCCGAGCATCTTTCTGCCTTGGAAAAGATTGATGGCAATGGGAATGGCATAGCTCACACCCAAGGCGACAACAGACGCAGAAATAAGAGCGTTGAAGGCGCTGCTGGATCCGATCAAGATCAGTCCGAAGAGGATCGCCAAAGTAGCAGCTAGGATCAGAGAATTGAGCGGCTGACCCAATCTCGGGTGTACTTTCGAGAAGAATTTCGAGAATGGTAGTCCACCGTCTCGAGCAAATGCGTACGTCATGCGACTGGAGGTGGTCATGATGGCAATCTCGGCGAAGAGGATGCAAACCAACGGGATCATCAACAGGCACGTGGCACCTGCTTTGCTCTTCGTCGCATTGAACAAAATCTGAAGAAGTGGGCCGGGAGCTGCGTCGATGATGGCTCCAGCATCGCCTCCGGAAACGAACAACAAAACCGTCAGAAAGATGAATCCGGTGACAGTGCCTATGCAGACACAGTAGATCATAATCTTGGGCCCCTCGACTGCAGCATTCGGAATCTCCTCAATCATATGCGCAACCGCGTCGTACCCGGTCAATCCGAACCCGCCCTGGAGCAAGCCGAGAAGCCAAGCAATGCCATCAGGCCAGCCCGTCTCATTGATGAATTTGGTAAAGACAAATTCTGCAGAGGCGAAGTCGGGGGATGCGCAAGACAATACGGTAATGCAGACGATGCAGAATCCTCCGATGGACCAGATGAAGGCGGTGCGGTTGACATAGGGCAATATGTCGTTCAAGAAGGCGTTGACGATGAACGCGATGATGGTCCAGGCAGAATAAATAAGCCAGACCTGCCACGGCCTCAAGTCAAACTCGGGATGATGTAGCGCGATAAGACCGGAAATGAGTTGCGAGGCAAGTAAGCCTCCCGAAGTAGTTAAAGCGAGCCATCCAGACACGTTGATCCATCCAGTGATGAAGGAAGCGAGCGGGACCCATTTCTTGGGAGTGATGACGGCTACCCAGTGGTACCTGTCTTCAGTTCAGTTTGTGTTTGGCTGAATGCTCGATATACTCACTGTCCGCCAGCAGTAGGGTATGCCGATAAGAATTCCGCAAGTGATGAGGCCAAGGCCAAGTTGCAGATACCGGCTGTGAGGAGGCCCCAAATGACACTAGTGGTACCACCGGATGGTAGAGCAAGTCCAATGGAGGATGAAAGTGCAGTCCAAGAGTTCAGAATGGCAAAAGCAAGGCCCAGCATGGAAATAAGGCTAAAATTGCGCTTGAGTTCGCCCTTGTGGCCGAGAGCCTGCAACTGCGCCTCATCGTCGAGAGATTTCCCATCGTCCGATCTCATGGTGTGGTTGGTGCCAGGTTAACAAAGGCTGGATTTAACATGGACCCGGAATGAAGTGAGCAGCATCTTCTATATGAAAAGTGCACGTGGTATATCGTATAGGGCGCCATGGGTCAGAAAGCTTGACAAAGCTTACTTGCCTCACATCGGTAGATAAGGCGCGTGGAAAGATGGGGTAAAAGCCAATCGGGTGTACGCACGGCAGGTATCGTGTCGGTGACGAAACGGCGTTACATCGAGCCTCGGACGCCACAGCGATCAGCATCCGAGACGAGTAGGGCCATCCGGACATTGCCGTATCTTGGTTCTCGGTATCCGCGTTAAGAGCGTTTCTGGAAGGTCCGGCGCAAGCTTGACAGATACGTGACGCGAATGGATTACATTGCCCAGGAGATGAAAGTGACGGCATGGTACAAAGGTAGTTGTGGAGTCTTGTACCTTTGCTTGGCGTCTTCTCGGCGCACCAGAAACAACACATGCCTCACCAGCGCTCGACTACCATGATGGCCGTTGATGCTGAGAGATTGCTGCGCGACACTCGATACATTCGCTTTTCCTGGATTCGGGGTGTTTTTGCTTTTTGTGTGTAAAGGGCTCGTGTTTTCGCCGGACTGCAAGCATACGTAACTTTCCAGAAACTCCACATCTCGCTGGCGACGTGGGACCCAAGGAACAACGCCAAAGTCATACGTAAACGTCTCAATCAATGCCAAAACCCTTGAACAGAATGCGCGGCATGCGATCACCCCAATATGTGTCTCTGCCGTTGAGCGAGAAGGAGGGTCTGTACTCGGAGAGACGGCGACGCGCCCAACGAGCAAAGGGCTCGTGGGGCCGAGTAGTACAGGTGGTAGGCAGCTTAGCGGTACTCTACGGGGTCTTCAGGTACGTGTCAGGCAATTTTGAGATGAGTGCACCACCAACTGAGATGGTAAAGTGTGTTCCAGCTGTGGACGCGCACGCCCTGCGACACCATCGACTCGGGCTATCGCTGCAGCCCCAAGACGAGCCATTTCTGGGGCCAGTACTCGCTCTGGTACTCGGTGCCGTCTGAAATCGACGTTGGGCCTCCCAAAGGGTGCGACGTGACTTTTGCAAACGTTCTTTCCCGCCACGGCGGCCGCGACCCGACCTTTGGCAAATCAATCGCCTACCAACTCCTCATCATCGAAATTCAGAACACAAGCACATGGTATCCGAAAGAATATGCCTTTCTCAAGGACTACAAATACACTCTCGGCAATGACCAGCTGACAGATGCTGGGAGGCAGGAGATGGTCAATTCTGGTGCCCATTTCTACCGCCGCTATTCCAAGCTCGTGGATGAGAAGATGCCGTTTGTACGCGCGGGGGGTCAGGAGCGCGTAGTTGAATCAGCTCAAAAGTGGCTCGTGGGCGTTGCGCAGTCGCTTAATGACGAACCGCCTGAGATTGATCTCGTCATCCCAGAAGGAACGAGTTGGAACAACACTCTTTCCCACGACACGTGCCCTGCGTTTGAAAGTGGTCCAGATCACGGGCTAGGCGATCGGGCTCAGCGCATTTGGGTCGACAAGTTTGTGCCACCCATCCAACAACGCATCAACTCAGCCTTGGGAACGAATCTCAGCGCGACATCCACTGTGTACCTCATGGACATGTGTCCGTTTGACACTCTCGCCCACCGTTCGGCAAAGATTTCAAACTTTTGCAAGCTCTTCACTGAGCAAGAATGGCGCGAATACGACTACTACCAGACTTTGGGCAAGTATTACAGCTACAGTGTGGGCAACCCCATTGGACCGACTCAGGGCGTCGGCTATGTCAACGAGCTGCTAGCGCGACTGACGGGCAAGCCTGTTCAAGACAACACCAACACCAACCGGACGCTTGATGCCGACCCCAAGACATTTCCACTCGACCGCAATGTGTACGCCGACTTTAGTCATGACAACGACATCAGCTCGACATTGGCTGCGCTTGGTCTCTACAACAAAACAAAGCCGTTGTCCAATACCTCGATTGAAGATACTGAGAAGACTTATGGTTATTCTGCGGCATGGACGGTGCCTTTTGCAGCGCGGCTATATGTCGAGAAGCTGCAGTGCAAGCACGAGAAGGAAGAGATGGTTCGCGTTATTGTCAATGACCGGGTGCAGCCTCTGGAATTCTGCGGCGGTGACAAGTACGGCAGGTGCACACTGAGTAAGTTTGTGGAGAGCCAGAGCTTTGCGCGAAGTGGTGGACTCTGGGATCGATGTTTTGAGTAGATGTCCGTACTTGCATTATTCGGCCTTCCTGCATCGTGCAATATTCACTTTCAGCTTCTCACATCTGTAGCCAAACGTTGAATTAGAAGGCATATCCTAGACGCAAGACGATACCTTGCATGCTCATTGTCCCCATTGCCTCTTGGTTCTGTACAATTCCCATGAAACCAGTTCCAACACCACGACCATCCTCTCATAGATGACGCTTCCAACTCTGTCTCACTCATCGCGCAATCGTATTGGTAAATCACACGTATGGAAGTGGCCAGCAAATGGCCAGCAAATGGCCAGCAAACGTGACACTGACAAGTATTTGCCCTCTGCTCATATCTCAGATAATAGCCAGCACTCCTGATTGAGACGAAAGCTACCCAGTAAGTCATTTCTCCATACAGCAGCAGCAACAACCTCAGTTTCAACCGTAAGATGAGCAACAAAATCTATATTCCAAAGCACACATGGAATACCTACGAACCTCCAGCTTTCCAAGATCCGAACAGAGACGCCACCCATGCACCAACACCGCGGATAAGACTAAAACTCAACCTGCCATCACCTCCTCAGAACTCATCTTCCTCGGAACCGGACGAAGAAGCCCGTACACGCACACGCTGCAAAATCAAGCTTGCTCGTTTTCACTACGGCGGCCCTCAACGACAACAGCAGGGACAATGGCGGAATCGAATCACGTTCGAACAGCCGTGTTTACATCCGACATGCCCACGCTGCTTGAAGTGGCACGCAGATATAATGCGAAAGCTCACACCCGAACATGTTGTTGAGGAGGGACATAGGAGTGAGAGAAAGCAAGATGGAGGTCTGAGCTCGGGAATACATCCTAGGCTTCTAGACAAAACACCGCTCGTAGAACAAGCCACCACCTCCAACGTCCCGGCAGAAACCACATGGCGCTCTACGCCACGAGAAAGCTATACTGTTCGCCTTTTGTTTCGGTCCGACATGGGCAAGATGGTGTATAGGCGTATGTTTGGGCTGTGGGATCCGCAGGAGAGAAAGAGGATATGTGAGCGGGCGAGGAGAGCGATATTCGAAGAGGCAAACTGTACACGAGGAAGAGTAAGACATAACATGCAAGATAAGAGGAATAGGCATGTAATCGGTGGATACAAGGTCAAACTGGTGTTTTTGACCAAGCAAGGAAAAGCGGCGTTTGCGGAGATAGTGAGGGTATGGTGAAGAAATGTTGTAGGTAACTTCTTCACAAAGATCAGATGAAGCAATTATTTGCGCAAGTTACAATTTACCATAATCCACGCTTTGTGTACTTGCCTAATTAGGAAGGTTGAAATAATTCATGTTAACGGGCAATATTTCGATAATTAGAGTCGGATTGACACCGACTACGATCGATGGTTTGAAGAAATTGCCTGGTTAGGAAGGAGGTGGCATTTTTCGACTTTTGTAGACTTCCGGAGATCAGACGAAGTAATTACTATCATCTACACTTTGCATACTTGCCTAATTGGGAAGGTCGAAATAATTCATGTTAACGGGTATTATCACGCCTTTTACAGTCGGATTTGGTCTGTCTGTAATCGATGGTTTGGAGAAACTGCCTATTTAGGAAGGAGGTGGCATTTTTGACGACGTTACCCTCTTACTTTACAACTCAGACTTGTATGTAGAAATCCAACACTTCATCTGCTATCAGTCGTCACGGGAATACCCCACTCTGGTGCGCAGCACGTTCGCCAAGAACCGCCACAATCCCTGCGAAGCCTCGGACAGCCCACCAATGCATGTCACGTCTCAGTCATCGTCGCGCTTTCCTTGAAAGACGTATATAGGACTAATGGCTGCCCCTCTAGATGTTGGACGAGGCCCCTTCAAATTCGACTCCCCATAATGGTGTACATGGCCAGAATACGGCCGGACCCGGCCGCGCTGCGAAGAGCTGCAGGTCGCCGCAGTCTCCTCACACGCCCGTCGATATGCGCGATACGGACGAGCGGGATTGCGACCAACGCCGCTGTACATGATCCCAATGTTGAGTTCCCTGCTGGTGTCCCTCCAGTCACGGGGTCACAGCGACTAAAGACGGTAGACCGCAGAGAAGCCATCAAGAAGGCGAAACCCTTCTCCGACTTCCTGACCGACACGTTCAACCGGCAACACGACTATCTGCGAATCAGCATCACCGAGCGCTGTAATCTGCGATGTCTATACTGCATGCCCGAAGGTGCGCTTGGTGAATCAACTCCATAGAAGAGTCTGGCTGACGAGTAATAGAGGGCGTCCCGCTTTCGCCACCGGCAAACATGCTCACGACACCTGAGATATTCTACCTCTCTTCGCTATTCGTATCACAAGGCGTGACCAAGATTCGCCTCACCGGTGGCGAGCCCACAGTGCGCCGCGACATCGTGCCGCTTATGCAGCAGATAGGCTCATTGCGCCCCAAGGGCTTGCGCGAACTCGCCCTCACCACAAACGGCATATCGCTCCACCGAAAACTAGACGCAATGGTAGAGGCTGGCTTGACGGGTGTAAACCTCAGTTTGGACACATTGGATCCCTTCCAATTCCAGATCATGACCAGGCGCAAAGGTTTCGATGCTGTCATGAAGTCAATCGACCGCATACTGGAAATGAACAAGTTGGGTGCAAACGTAAAGCTCAAGGTCAACTGCGTAGTAATGCGCGGATTGAATGAGCGCGAGATTCTGCCATTTGTCGAAATGGGACGCGAAAAGGACATTGAGGTGCGCTTTATCGAATACATGCCGTTTGGGGGAAACAAGTGGAGCGAGAACAAGATGATCAGCTTCCAAGAGATGTTGGATATCATAAGGGCAAAATATCCTGGGCTCAGGCCGGTTGCTGGACACAAGAACGATACGAGCAAAACATACGAGGTTCCTGGCTTTGTCGGCAAGGTTGGCTTCATCACGAGCATGACCAACGACTTCTGCGGCTCATGCAATCGCTTGCGCATAACCAGCGACGGTAACTTAAAGGTCTGCCTGCACGGCAATGCCGAGGTCTCACTCCGCGACGTGCTACGACAGGGAAACAACGGCGAGCCTATTGACCAAGAGGCCTTTGAGAGTATCAAGCAAATCGAAATGGACCGCCACCAAGGACGATTGAGTGACGAGACCGTTCTTGGCTGGGGCCAGAGGGAGCGCGAACTGCTCGATGTTGTGGGAGCTGCAGTCAAGCGCAAAGCTGAAAAGCACGCCGACTTGAACGACCTCGCCAACATGGAGAATCGGCCAATGATATTGATTGGTGGGTGAATATGGATTCCTTTTTCTTTCTTTCATGCTGGCAATGGTCATACTCTGTGCGAATGGTATCGCCGCGGTCGTTGATTGTGAGTCTACTCAATCGCTTGGAATCATCATAAAGCTACATACCAATCCTACCCCTTTTGCGCCTTCAAGCGTCAATCTCAATGTGATGTGCATCACTGACTTACCCCGAATAGATCAAAATATGCCCCCGTCAAGCCTACATTCACCGTGGCCTCTATTGCAAACACGATCGAAAAGCTCGGTCAACCACCCCTCCGCACGGCCGAATATACATAGACCATCATTGAGCCACCTATACCCATCGTTCTCGCCAACTGGGTCCTCTATTCGAGCCTTCTCATTTGACACCCGTCCTCAGGTACATAGAATGCCGGGAACGGACGGCCACGTTAAAGCGGCAGTTAAAGCGGCACGCGCAGACCATATCCGAGATATTGGCATGTTGAAAAGTGCGCTCAAGCAAGGCATTACGAGCAGGCCTCTCCCTCCGAGTATGGAGGAAGTACGACAAAAGTATGGTTTGGACGGCCCCGAATTCAACGGGTACTGGTATCGAGCAGCAGATGCAGAGCTACGGCACCGCACAAGAACAGAATCTGCCGCAGTCCTTGAAAGAGCTGAACGCGCGTTGCAGGCGCGGCTAAAAGAGTTTGGGAAGGGTGTCACGTTGACCCACGAGGGTCTGATGGCAGAAGCTAGACAACTTGCGACGCAGGCTGCCCGCGAGAAACAGGCCGCCCCCTTTAAGCGACACCAAATGATCACCATGGAAATCAAGAAAGTTCTACAGGAGGTCACGGTACCACAGGAGCATGTGAGGGTGCTCAAGGGCCTTCGCTCGAGGATTTCAGAATTGGAACATATCATGGAGCGGATCGCGGGCAAGGGACTAACAGCTGACGAGGCTTCTGAGACATACGGATATGGTCTTCCTGGAATTGATCCGCGGAACAAAGCTCAATTCATGACAGGAAAAGAAAAGCCGACTCTTGAGGAGATTGAAAACTTCCAGAAGATGATGCAATCATCTACATCTGAGCCTGTCCCCACAAAGATCCAGCAGATCCAACACCTGCTCGATATGTACAGGCAACAGGCCGCTGATGTCGAGGACGAGACACAGAGGCTCAAGGATATTAGAATTCGAAGGGAACAAGTACTTAGCAGGAGGCGCGAGTTGTTGGAACAAATGAAGGCGCAGAAAGAGAAGGTGAAGGAAACCGAGCGTGCTGCCAAGGCTAAGAAGAAAGGTCCGGCAAGAGGCGACGTGGATGCTATATTGGCGGAAGCATTGAGAAGGCAAAAGAAAGACACTCCGGAGACATTGCCTGATCGGGGTGTATCGGAACTGGAGGGTGTTGAGCCCATTTTTCAGTCAGTGACCCAAGCCGACGAAGACACTCTGAGTCCAATCAGGAAACCCGGTCTAGAATCTCTCAGGGTGTTGAAACCGCGAGAAACGCGCGATACTGCTGCGAAGGATGAGAACGTTCTCGCCGACCCAATCATGGATAAATCGGATACCTACACAGCTCCCACGGCGAGTACCGTCAGCCAGCCACCGAAAGTCAATGAGAACATCTTCCCATCCACAGCATCCGACATCTTCGCCGTCACGGAATCCCCTCCACCCAAACCATACATCTCGCCCTTCCTCGGCCTCAGCACAAGACCCCTACACAAACCAAGCAACGACCTCCGCCTCGACGTCACCCCCGCGGGCTTCGTCCCCATTGACGAAAACCTCGTCGTCACCTTCGAAGCCGGCGTCCCCCACCTCCAAGCCCAAGTCCTCGAAATGCGTAACCGCCTGAAACACGCCTACCCGCGCATCGACAGCCTCCCTTACGACGTCTGGAAGAGCGAGAACCGACGCACTCTCCAAACCTGGCTGAGGATCCTTGTCCGCAAATGGCAGACGCGCTTCGACGACGTGGAAAAGTCTGGGCGAGTCGCCAAGAAGGCGATGAGGGATGTGAGGGTGGAAAATGTGCTGGATGAAATGGTGCGGGATCATGATCTTGATAATGAGGCGGCGGAGCGCATGGCCATGCGGTGGTATGAGATTTTTGGTCATAGGGGGAGTATGACGGGGGATGCGGAGGGGAGGATTGATCGCGAGGAATTGCATGCTGGGGGGTTGGACTTTTTGCTCCATGAGAGTGAGGGTGTGGCGGAGAAGGCGGTGGTGGTGGGTCCGTTGGAGACGAAGATGCCGGTGGTGTCGAGCACAGTAGGTCCATTGGAAACGAAGATGCCAGAGGTATCGAGCAGTGGGGGTTCTGTGGTCAACGCTTCGTCGGGTACTCTGTCTATGCTCCGCGTAGGAGGGGGTCGAAGGATGTATTCCACAACCTCACAACCACCACCTTCATCGACTCCAAACCCAAACGAAAAAACCACCACACCACCCTCACTCCCCCACCTCACACCCACCGGCACCGCGCACATGATATCTGTCACCCCCAAACCACCCACCTCCCGCACCGCCATCGCCACCGGAAAAGTGTCCTTCACAAACGCCACGCCCCTCACGCTCATCCACTCCAACGCCGCGAAAAAAGGTGATGTACTAGGTGTATCCCGCATCGCGGGCATCATGGCGGCGAAGAAATGTTCGGATTTGGTGCCGTTGTGTCATCCCATTGCGCTTACGCATGTTGGTGTTGAGGTTGTGACTTTTGGGGCTGGTGGCGAGGGAGGTGGAAGTAAGGATGGGGGATTTGGTGGTGTGAATATCGAGGCAAAAGTACAGTGTGTAGGTCCCACGGGTGTGGAGATGGAGGCATTAACGGCGGTTATGGGCGCGGCGCTTAGTGTGGTTGATATGTGTAAGGCGGTTGATAAGGGTCAGAGGATTGAGGATGTTAGGGTTGTTGCGAAGGAAGGGGGGAGGAGTGGGGGGTGGAGGGAGGAGGGGTGGAGGAGTTTGGGGGAGTAAGTAGATTTTTTGTTTGAGTGAGTGAGTGAGTGAAGATGAGAGGGGGGGTGTTTGTATTTGTATGGTGGAAAGGAGAGGTGAGGGTGTAGGATAGTGTGTAGTGTGTAGTGGTATTCTAAAAAGCGAATTATTCGATCTCTCTTCCTTATACCTACTTTTTTCCAATAACAAGTTGTAACAATAATCTAAACAGAATCAACCAAAACTCTCCCCTCTTTATTAACAAACCTAACCCCCTTCATCTCCCCACCATCCCTACCCTTCACACTCACCCAACCAACAACACCCCGTCCATCCCACCCAAAATCCACAACCCCACCCCCTCGAACCACCAACCCCTTCACCCTCCCCCCACCCCAACTCCCCGGTATCGCCGGCCCCAAAACCACCGTCCTCTCCGCCTCCCCATCCCTACCAACTTCCGCACCCGGCAAATCCACAACCAGCATCCCCAACACCGCGCCGCCAAACCCAAAATTCCCATCAATCTGAAACGGAATCTTATCCCCAAAATACATGCTCAATCCATTCGGCGCCCAATTCGTTTCAATCGCAAAGCGCAACTCCCAATGCGCGTGTTCGGTGTCATTGAGGCGAGCCCAGCAGGCGCTACGCCAGACTTTAGCCCACGCGGAGTTTCCATCGGGGCCTTTGCCCGGGCCGCGGGATATGAGTTTTTGCCTGACGGCGGACGCGATGGTGGCGTTGGAATAGCCGTGTTGGAGGGCGGAGAGGGAGAATCCGGGGTGCCAGCCTACGAGTTCGGAGAGGTGGCGGTGGGTGTCGTTGGGGCGGTCGTAGGTGTAGCTGTCTGGGATTTTCCATTCTTTGATTTGAGAGAAGGAGCCAGTGTGGAAGCCTTTATCCAGACGGTGTAGCGAAGATGTCAGATTGGTTAGGAACACGGTATCTGGGTCGGCGACTGTGGGCTGCACAGCTAGTATAGAGTGAAAAACTTGGTGGATGAGTTGTTGATAATGCGCACATCCGAATGTCGTTCCACCGTGTTCGGGGCTGTTACACGGGTTCACTACTAGACTGCCGTCTTTGTAATACCCGTCTTGTTGGAGTTGATCGAGCCAGAACATGGCGACGCCTTTGAGTAACGGGTACCCTTGTTTAAGTAGCCATGTGGCGTTGCGACTGTAATCCCAGTGGTCGAAAACGTGTTGCATCATCCACGCGGCTGCGATGGGGTAGTTTGCCCATTCCGCCGCGCTCTTCATGGCCGTGTGGCCGAAGATGTTCATCTCGTTGTGGACGACCCAGCCGGGCGCGTTGTATAAGAGTGTGGCTGTTTCGGCACCGCGCGGCATCCACGTGTCGGTCATGTAGTCCCAAAGTGGGGATTGCAGGTCCGTGAGCCCGGTTTGGTCTGATGTCCAGTGGTTCATTTGGAAGTTGATGTTGGCGTGGTAGTCGGCCGACCAATCTGTTTCGAGACCTTCGCTCCAGCGGCCTTGGAGGTTGGGTGGCAGGGAGCCTGGGCGCGAGCTGGAGATGAAGAGGTAGCGGGAGTTTTCCATGAGGAGGCTTTCTAGGTAGGGGTCTCCGCTGGTGTTGTTTACGGTGTATCGATTGATGAGCTCGGATGTTTGGGTTTGGGAGGAGTTAAGTGGGTCTGGGAGAGACAGTTCGAAGAGTCCCGTGAGAGCTGTAAAGTCGTCGATATGGCGGCCGCGTAGTTGATCGAGTGTTTTTGTAGCGGCTTTGAGGGTGGTGGCTTCAACTATTAGTGCTGGGTCTTCGCCACGGAAGGAATAGTTGTGCTCTGCTGTTCCTTTCTTTGCGTCGTAGTTTGTCCCAGCGCCAATTACAATGCTGACGCTTTTTGTGCCACTGCGAGGGGCGATGCTCAAGAGACCAGTATTTTCGTCGCATGAAACGTCAGTGTTGGAATTGGACACCACACGTGCAATGGAGTCGTATCGCATTCCCTCTGGTGGACCGAGCTGGGTAACGCCCCGTAATCTCAGATGCGCCGGCTTTGTAGTGTCCCCCTCTACGCAAGTAACATTCTGCAGCTGCGGCGAGACTAATACGTTATCCAGTGTTACCTCCAATGGTGGTACATCGCCTGCACCCGTGGACTGGACGGTATATACACAAACCTGGTCTGGAAATGAGCAGAATCCAGTAGTTTCCAGATCATTGCCATTCGCAATAAACGTAGTTGTGTGGGTGCCAGTGCTCATATCGAGCTTACGGGTATAGTTTGAAACAATATCACTGCTCAACGAGGGAATTTTGACAGTCAGATTTCCCAGGACTTGATAAGATCCATAGTTGTCGTTGGACCCAAGCAGGGCCGACACATTGCCCGTGCCATTTGTGAAGATCCAATCACGGATACCAGGAAGTGCTGAGGCAATTAAGGTGTGTGGGTTTCCGCCTGTATAGTTCTACGTAGTGTCAGCTCCATTCGCCTTTAATAGACGAATTTCAAGCTCACAGATATGTTGAAAGGTCCTCCCGACCAGAGACTATCAAGATTCAAGGTGAGTGTCTCCGCTGCTGGAGGGCCAACTGGCATCGCACCGAGCCGGCCATTGCCCAAAGGATAGGTAGTTCGGTAGATGTCACGAGCGTCGGCTGGGGATGTAGACCATAGTGTTTTACCACTGGCTGACTGGATAATAGGTGCTAGGAAGCATGCGAACGAAGTCAATTTGGGTGGCATTATCACTGAGGATCTTGCAGATTGCAATCTTGTCACACGAAGATTTCACTAGCAGCAGCGTAGCATTATGTAGACCCCGCAAATCGTATCTTGCTGTATGTACTGGGACAAGTTGCGGGGAAGTACCTAGGTGTAATGGATGGGTACATCTACATGCCGATCGCAGTGGAGATTCTCCGTCGGCGGTCGTCCAAAGCAGTTCCTCCGCTTCAGATTCGGAAGACGATCCGCATTCCATGATGGACCCATGTCGTCTGTGTTGAAGTTGGATGGAACTGGAGCGAGAGAGATGTGGTGGGAGGGGTCGTGCCAAGGCCATCGGCGTTTTGATGGACCGAAGCCACGCTAAGTTTGGGGGACGATGATTCCATGATGCAGTAGCCGTTACGCTTTGCAATTGCGGCCACACAAAGCAAGATGAGGACGCCTTACACGTGCAGACAATGTCTGTCGCTGTTAAGGAAACCTGGAATGCAATTACGACCCTCGCAGAGCCTTAGACCCTTCGCCCAGAATGCCGTGTCGCAACGCAATCACTCGACCAAAAGTCCAGCACCACCTAAGCTGGCCCTGCCGAAACGAAGTCTGTCTACTACACCAAGCCGGGCTTTTGATAAAGCATTCGAACCATATGACTACATCGATCCCGAGGGTAACCGGCGGACGCTGGTCTTGACCGAAGATAACCTGTTCAACTCCTTCACCAACTCACCCATACCGCAAATACGCAAACGCGCAGCTTTCATGCGCCAACATGCATACTGTCCACACCCATCGCATAAGCCGACGCGCGCACCCAATAACCCCATGGACCTCGAAGCTCGCAAATCATCTGAAAATGGCGCTCCGCCCGCGCACGTAGACTTTGAATGCCCCGATTGCGGTATCCCTGTGTACTGCTGCGAAGAACACTGGGCGGACGACTACGAGGCTCATTTGGAGGTATGCGACGTGTTGAGACAGAGCAATGAGGATGATCACGACTTGAGGAGCGGGCGTTTCTTCAAGGAGTTTCAGTTTGCTGAACCGCAAATGGAGGAAATCTTGGTCAACATGACGAGTTGGGATACATATCTGTATACGAGGGACTATGATGCCTTGAATGACGACCGGGAGATGAGACAGGCAACTAAGCTGTTGTCATATCCGATGACGATTGCAAGCGTCCTAAACGAGCTGAGTCCGTACAACATCCGCAAGAATGGACGCATGACACCAGAGGGCTTGAAGAGCTTCAGCGGTAAGTAAGCCCATCGCAATGATTCACACCATACTAACAACCAGATAGCCCTCCGGCACACCCTCCACCCCCCTCGTACAGGCGGCGGTAACGACTGGAAGAACGCGCGCATTGCCCCACCCGCCGTCCGTCTCTTCATCCTCGGCGCACGCGCAGAATCCTCGCTCCCCCGCGAAACCTGGATGCAACTATCCTACCTCTTCCACCGCGTGCAATTCTCCCTCAACTTCATTGGACCGGAAAGCATGGCAAACCGCGAAAAGGAACTTCCCCTCCCCGAGCGCACACCCCTCAATCCTTTCGGCGCCGTCATCGAAGACCGCATTAGCAGCTCGATGAAAATCAGCACTTTTGTCGAATACTTCCACAACATTCACAAGACGGGTTATTTTTACCCTTACGACCCTTACTTTGACTGCTTCGTTGTTTTCCACCCCGGTTTTGGCAATCCGGCTTCCGCACATGAGTGGGAGGAAACTCTACCCCTCCTTCTCGAGACTAAAGTTCCTATCATCGCGACTGGATATTCGCCCGGAGATATGCAACAGGATGTTGACTTTTTGAACAAGCGTTTCGGAAATGAAATGGACGTTTTGCTCGAGCCGGGTGAGAATCTGTTTAGGAGTCTGAGGTGGGATCTTAACGATCTTGATCCTCATGATGTCACGTGTAGTAATTGGGGCGTGTATGCTTTCCGCGGTAAGCGGTATGAGACTACGAAGAAGGAAGAGGAGAAGGAGGTGCATAGTGATCGAACTGCGTAGGTGAGTGTGTAAATGTGTAGATATGTATAGTACTTCTGCATCTTGTGTTTGTGGACTTGCAACATTGTACGGCTGAGGCGATTACCGTGATGTGCATGATGGGAATGATTTTGGAGATTAGATGATATGTTCCGTTTTTGGTAGGATCCGAAATCGTTTCGCTTTTCAATACACCAGTTATGGCATTCAACTGTGACATCTTTGAAACGATACACTCAGACATCAAGTTCACATTCGCATTCACGTTCACGATACACATCCCACAAAGTTTAACGTTATGTTATTTCATTCCATTCATCCATTCATCATCCCACCCAGATATCAACCTTGTGACTTGGCGACATGTGATTCCATACTTGGTAGCTGACTTGGAGAGTTGTGACCATAGCAGGTAGTTGACTCGCGAGATGTGACCATAGTAGGTAGTACGTCTACTACCTCCCTACTTCCGGCATCCCGGGGTGCAGAATCCGCCGTAGCAGTAGCATACGCCAGCGGCTTCGGCCTTTGCGTCGCGGACTTGGACTGAGGCGGGGTCGGCTGCACGTGTTGTTAGTGCCTATATCGTGACAAGGTGTCCAAGATGATGCTTCACATACCAGCAGGAGCCGCAAGAGCAGCGCTGAAGAGAGCAGCGATAGCGAAGATCTGGACGGCGAATCTCATATTTGCGGATTTGGACTGACTCGAAGATGGGAGTGTTGGATAAAGGAGGTAGAGGTAGAGGTGGAAGGTAAAGCCCTATCTACGAGGACATACAGCCCTACTTATACCTTTCCCTCTCCTCCATCCTACTAGTTCACTCCTCCTTACTCCTCCGCGGGCCCCATCCTAGATTCACATAAGCCCCCTCTATCGATACTCCCAAGAGCGGTATTTTTCCCCCAACAGTGGCAACGAACTAGTCACGAGCCCGTTCCCGTCCATGGAGTTGCGCGCAATTACCATATCTTTTCTCACTATATCCCCACCGACAAAGGATGCGCACATGAGCGCCCCACAAAGCCGTATCCGGGGGCCTAAGTACGGCTCTTGCACGTTGATTATTTGGTTCGTGGCGTGCGGGTCACTGTCAGTGCCCTCAGCCTATGCATCTTCATCTTCTAGATGAAAGCGCACACAGTGGCGTGTGTTGGTGGCTTCAACGGATTCGATACTAAGCATTCGATAAAGTAGAACGCCCCCCATCTTTGCATCCCGACTCCGTACCAATCATCTCAACATTCCCGTCGGGCGTAACTATCGAGATAACTGCCTCGGCGGTTCGTCCTCAAACGGCTATGCCGCTAAGGGTAGTGCTGGATGCCTTGCAGCACGCCAGAAGAAGCAAAGTGTTTTAGTGTCTGGCCTGAATGCGGGGATGGCACGCAGAATACCACACGATACGCCATCTGATCGTGCGCCGTCAACCCCGGATGTTGGCTTGGAAAGCGCGCCGGCCCGCACTAGGGGGCTTAAGCCATTATAGTGCGCTATGGTCGGGTGGTTGGATGCGATTGCGGAGGTAAATGAGGGGCCGTGGTGGTGCTATGGGTTGACGTTGTCCGCACTTGGGAGTCCTGTCTCTTTTTACTCTTTTTGACCTTCCGTTTACCATCTCTTGCGACGTGCAGATGTATAGTGCTGCACCCCAGTGCTTCCTCGCGTGTTGTCTCCGATAGAATGGTTCGGGGGGATCCAGATACCAGGTTTAATGGACATGTTCACATCAACCAGGCTAGGGCTTCTCTTCGATCGCGCATTTGCTGCGTCCATGTCTTTCGGCTTCGGTAGATTTGGGTTCACGTCAGCCAGTGCCTGGTTAGTTGTGGTATCTGCAAAATATCCGAGTCGGCCTTGGGTAGAAGAACACATTTACTTGGAAAATTAAGACATGGGAAGAGGAATCCGAGATGGTATGCGGGTGTAGCCTAGAACATAAGGAAGTAGCCATCACCGCAAGTTTCAGCTTCGTAATCCATTGGCGCCGACTTCGCCAACTCCGCCTATCCCACATATTCGCATTCCTGGACGTTTGCCTTGGTACGTCCTACCATCCTGGAGTTAACAGCTTGATTGAAAGTGGACATAATGCACGCGTTTCCGACTGCTGACCTGAGCGCTGGTGATGTTGATGTGATTGGTCTTTATGACGTCATCCAGACCAATCAGTCAGGTTGATCCTACACGAACCTTGACGACAATGCTTCGTTCGGTTTCTGCGAATATGCAGCGAGGTGACAAAGCAGACTGGTGATGTAAGCAGAGAACTGATCATGCTGTGAGTATACTAATCGGCATGTCTGGTACTTAAGGAACTGCGGGTAAGATCAAGTTGTGCTTCCTGCATCACCTTGATCCTAGCTACTTTCCAACTGTCGAGTCTAAAGAATCTCCAAATCACAAATATCACTCTTGAAAAACGAAACCATCATGACCGAAATGAGCAAGAAGATTGCACTACCATCCGAAGGCGCACATGGCGACATCAACGGCACAGCCACAGCAACATGCTACTGCAGCACCGTCCAAATCAAGGTGCCAACCGAAGGCCCCGGTCTCGTAGACACCTTCATCTGCAACTGCACCGACTGTCGCAAAATCACCGCCAGGTACCCCCCATCCCATCCCACCCATCACCCGACCCCCACCCACTAACCCAACCGTCCCCAGCATGTTCGCCTCCAACTTCATAGTCAAAAACACCCATTTTGAACACCTTCGCAGCGAAGACAAAATCACCCGCTTCAAACAAAATGCCACGATCGGAACCGGCCAGTCCATGGAAAACAGCTTCTGCAGCGTCTGCGGCACGCTCATGTATAGACGCAGTAGCGGATCCCCCGGTTTAAGCATCCCGCGTATTGGCACCGTTGATGATTTTGCGCTGCATGAGACAAAGTTTAAGCCGAGGGTTGAGGCGTTTGCGAAGGATCGGTGTGGGTGGTTGAAGGCGCCCGAGGTCGAGAGGCAGGTGGAAGGGGCGTATTATACGGGAGGGAAGGCATGGAAGAGCTCGCATGATGGGGTTGGGGGTGATGGGGAGGTTGGGGAGAGTTCGTCGCTTTAGTGTGTGGGAGGTGAAGACGCTTTTGTAGAGTGTTGTGCTAAGTGGTTACGGTGGTAGGTAAGGCTGTCTTGGGTTTTATAGAGGCTGTGGAAGTGTGGAAGAGTAGCTACAAAGAAACTTCAGAACAGCTAACTTAGGACAAATATTTACGATGAAAATGATCTCAGAATGACGCGTTACCCATAATCGTGTTTGTATGCTTCTTCAATTCATCCACTCGGGCCTCTTCTTCAGCTCCCGTCTCTTGCGGCACACTTGTAATCATATCTACTTCACCCAATCCGAGACGACGAACCTTACATGTAGCTATCGAAGCATCAAATGCACCTTGACGCAAGCTGGAATAAAAGCCGGCGACATCCGGGCTTGTACATGTGTGCGCAGAGGCAGAAGGAGGACACCACACCACACGGGTAGAAGTCGGTAGTTGATCCGCAAAGCACGCTAACTTACCTAGGTAACACGGGATACGACTGCAATTCGGGCCTAAACTGACCCCAGAACCTCAAAAGAGCCATCCCGGAGCGTTTGCCGAGACTCCATGTCAGCATGATGGATTTCCACAGCAACAGCCTTGGCTATGCGCTCGACATTGTCCGTACGTACTTATGTAGACTAACTACATGCGCCCATTTGGCGGAACATGTCCATGGGTTATGTAGTACTCGTCCGCGAGTGTGTGGCACTGCGCCACACTCGAAACGTTGGTAGTTGGGTGGTTTTAGCACATGATCGTCACTCCTAAATCGGATAACCATCCCGGACTTATAAAAATAGGCCCTTTTTCCTGTCGATCCTGGAAGTCTCCGAGAGTGACTGACGGACCCGGGAGTTCTGATCCAGCTTCCACCAAGATCCTCAACCCCGCAGCATCTTTATCGAGATAGTCCCTACGATCTTGGTACTCCATGTCAACAACCATGATATAAGTGCGATCACTCAAGTTGTCTGCAAGACGCCTCCTTTGTTGGACGCCAGGATCTACACCTGTCGAGTATGGCAGCACGCCTGCAGTAAGCAAATGCTGTTCATTGGCGACTTCTGCACTGTATTTAACAATGCAGCAATGTTTGGCTCTGGGCCTTATGCATCTAGGTACGGGTAGGTGCGTACGTTGAGACCGCCATAACGGAAGATCGGAACAGGGTTGTCTCACTTAGTAGACCAACTTATATCTTTGCAGACAAAAAATCTTTTCCTAATAACAGAGCAGCCAATGAATTTACTCCAATTCTAATTTTTTTGAGTCGGAGATACCCCGTCCTGAGCTATCCTATGGCTTGGCACTGGTTTCCCAGAAAGACCTATACGCTCAATCGGAGAACGTCGTTAGGGCGCATTGTTATCACGGGCATTTGGGACATATCATGGCTATAAACACGGGTACTACTAACACTCTGATGTGGCCTTGAGCTCACACAACGGATCGGGGGGCTCTCGTTGAACCTTCAGCATGTTGTCAACAGACTCCGCAACAATCAATCGATTGACATGATTGATTCCTATATAGGTTAAAGAATTACTTCATTAGGCAGCCTTTAACCTAGATAGGAATCAATCATGCCGATCCGATTGATTGTTGCGGAGTCTGGTTGTCAATAAACCTAGAGAGGTATGAGTACTACCGCTGTGTGCGAAGCTTCGGCGTAGAGACTAAGTATATATTGACCGTATAGACGTAGAAGATTCCAATTTGTATGTTGGTTTGATCAGGTGCAGCGCGTTTAGTTTTTGGGAGTTTTGATATGGTGTTCCCAGCTCTAGTTTTTCGTCGTTCAGGGAAGGGAAGCCGACTACAGTGTAGTCCGCAACAATCAATTAAGTGGGTCCTAGAAGGTTCAGATTGGATTGATTGATTACCGCTTTAAGCCTAGTAGTTACCTATAGGAGTTTAAGCCCTACCTAGATAGGTAAGTGGGTCTAGGAGAGTGACCGGATTGAATTGATTGTTGCGGAGTCTAAGCTGCATATGTTGCATGAGTAAGATTTTAAAATTGATGTTTGAGCTTTTTCCTCTGGAGATTGAAACTGAAAGGTTATCGTGCTTGATTTGTGGGGTATGATGTTTGTTCGTATCACTCTCTTGGTAGTAGTTCTATTCAACAGGTTACCAAAGACTTGGATCTGAGTGGCAGGCAGCGCAATGACCGAAGGTGATCTGCACAGGAATCTTTGTTGTCCGAGCGCTCGGCCCTTCTTTCTGATGACTTTCGGAAGACAGCCAACCCCAGTCAGTCTGTTCGTTAGGGATGGGTTGCCTCACCATACCAAGGACCTGGGATCGTGTCCGCTAAGTGCTTACCAACTAATCAAACTACCCATCACTGCCAAGCTTCTCGTGTCAGACTTATAAGACCGACGTGAAGAGGCCGGTGCAGCGAGCGCGAAAGGGATGGGTTTTAAGGAAGGGCATCCGCGGCACTGTCGGCTTTGAAGAGATACCTTCTTTTTTGCCTTGGCATAATGGCGTCTCTTTCCAGGTCACAGCCGGCGTGGATGAAGCCCTCCAGCTCCTGGAGCATTTGGAAAAGCCCTCGATGGATGCGGATTACACTGGCGACAGTGCTGGTAGTGTCGACATTGATTTTTCTCGGCTTCGAAACGGGCGCGTTCGAAAAAGTTCCCATGCCGGCCTTGAGCACTCACAAAAGCATCCACCAAGAGATACCTCCACCAGTCCCAACCGAACCTGTCAAACCAGCGGAACCAGAAAAGCCTGCCGAGCCAGCTAAACCAGCGGAGCCAGCCAAACCAGCGGAACCAGTGGAACCAGCCAAACCAGCGGAAGAAGAAAAGCCAGCGGAACCAGAAAAGCCCAAACCGGTCCCCACACCACCACCGTATATCGACGTGGACCCCAACCCTGCAAATACAAAAGAGGAGAAACTTGCCTACGTCACTTTTCTCTCGGAAACGGTTGATTCGGGCGATAATTTGGAGGAGGACAAGTACTTCCAGGCAATACGCATTCTCATCTGGCAGTTCCTTCACAAACCCGAGACGCGCACGAAGCATGATGTTGTCGTCATGGTGACACCGTCCGTCGGTCAGAAGCGACGCGACCGGCTGAAGAAGGATGGCGCTATCGTGTATCCCGTCGAGTACCTGCACACGCAAAACGACAGCTGGATACACCCCGAGCAGCACCGCTGGGACGACGTCATGACCAAGATGCGCGTCTGGGAAATGACACAATACGATCGCATCCTCATGCTCGATGGTGACTCGATGTTGATCAGATCGCTCGACGGCGTTTTCGACGATCCAGGTGCTCAGCTCATGAAGACCAAGCCCTCCGATGAGTCCGGACTCCCCCCAACATACCTCCTCGCATCCCTATCAGAAGTCTGGGACTCAAGTCACTCGTTCCCGCCCGGGCCTACCACAGGCCTCAAAACGATAGGATACATGAACGCCGGCTTCTTCATGCTTGCGCCTTCACTCGCCGCCTTTGAATACTACAAGCGGCTCATGAACACGCCCGGTTCATTCGACCCCAAATATCCCGAACAGAACCTCATGAACCATGCGCATAGCTGGGATGGGCCTATGCCGTGGCGAGAGATTGCGTATACCTGGAATATCCGTTGCCCGAAAGACGAGGATTTTGACCAAGGGTTGGTAAGTGTCCATGAGAAGTGGTGGAAGCAGCCATACATTTACAACAACGAAAAGACGAAGCAATGGCTGTTTTCCAGGAGATGGGAGATGAAGGGGTGGTATGATGCACTCGAAGAAGTGGAGTCACGTCATTCGAATACCGCATAGCTAGAGCAGCTATGTGAGCCTCTTTATGGGCGTTGCTTTTTTGTAGATATTAAAAGGAACGGGAATAAAATTTTGATGACTTGCTTGTGAAAATATTCACTCTATCACTGCCGTGGCCGCGATTATAGCAGTGATCGGAATGGTCTGGTCTGGTCTGGTCTGAGGGTACAGACCAGACCAGACCAGGTGCTTACATAAGGACCGGTCCGACCAGACCGGTCCGACCAACAAGACCGCCAAGAATGAGGCTGAAGCAAAGAAGGAAGCCGAGGAAATGTGTTTTACTACTGACTGTCAATCTAGTCGTCTTCGTTCTCACTATCCTCGATATCGCTGTTCCCCTCAGCTTGGGGCTTTCCATACCAGGCCCGGAGACACTCGCACGCTTCTATAATATCTGCCTTCAGCCTACCACGGCGATCGACGATAGTAAGCTTCGCGCTACTAAAAAGACGTTCGCATTCATCCGACATAGGCGAGATCGCAAACATGTCTAGAGCGAAGGGAGCGAGATCTCGTTGGGAGTCGTAGCGAGATAGCCAGTACGCAATAGCCTCATTGCAACCTGCCTCTTCGTTATGAAGCCGGTCAGTAGAGATGTATTGTTCATACAAATCAGTTGTAGAAACTGGAGCGTCTATTCGAATGCGCTTATGTTCCCGCTGGCGATCAAATGCTGGGTCAGGATCTCTCTCCTTCCTGGCTGGTGGTGGCAGCATCTCGACAGGGTACCTTCCCTTATACTCTGTCTCCCAGAGATGCTTCACCGCTAATTGTGCGTTTTCAAACCACCTCTTCTTCTCTTCGTCGCCATGAAGAACCCACTCTTGCCTGAACCATCCCCACTTGCGATATGGATCAAGGATTTGAGCCGCATAATATGTCGGTGGAAGGTCAGTATCTTCAGGGAATCGATTTTGCCAATTCAGCTGCTGATTGTTATAGTACTCAACGCACTTTAACCAAGCAGCATCAGCGCAGCCTTGAAGGTACTTCCATGTAAAGTTGTTATCGTCCTCAGTGTGGATGTCGTGGTAGTGATCCTTCGTCTCGCTTATCTCCCGGAGAAGGCAGTCCAAAGTTGAAAACCAGTCCGCAAGTGACGTCTTCTTACCTTCAGAAAGCAAAGTTGCAGCATAGAAGTCTTTGAGAGCGAGTTCAATCTTTTCAAGCTCAAACCAGTGCTGTCCATCAAGCTTAAAGTTCGCGATCCCTACGGAGCCCTTTCCAGGTACATGACGAGCCGAGAAGAGCTCTAAACGTTCTCGAACATTTAATGCACGTGTAATCGAATAAAACCATGAGTTCCAGCGGGTCGAGTTGTTCTGGATAAGCTCAAGCCCGTCGAATTGCGAAAGATCTCCGCCGATAATAATTGTAGCAAACTCCTCACGCCGTTGTGGAGTAAGCCTGATGTATCGCACCAGGTTGTGAAGACGACCCAAACATCCGAACTTCTTCCAGAGCTCTTCCACCTTCGTATAGTCGCCACGTTGATGATGCTTCTCCAGCTTCGCAAGATACTTCTCACAGTTTCGCCCCATAAGGAACGCCTGGCAACCACAGATGTCAATGAGCAAGCTGAGCGAGCTCAGCCAATTGGCTTGCTCAGCCAATTGAGCGGAGGCCAGCAGCTCGCTCGGCTCGCTCGGATTGGCTGAAACAGGGCTGTCAGCTCGCTCGGCTTGATGGGCTCAGTCCCGATTAGGAAAGTTATATAGAAACCTTGGTGTTGAGTTTCTCAGCTAATATCCCACTTATGTACACCGTATTTCGCGTCCATCTCCTCATCGCTGATAACCCCCTTTACAGGCACCTCACCACTGCCAAATCCAGCTCTTATCCATCGTCGATCGCACTGTATTGCTGCTAGAAGTTGCGGAGAAATGCTGCGCCGACGGGGCTCGAGGAGGTCACCCAGCTCGCTGAATAAGCGCTCACACTCACAGCTTGAGCCTGGGATTGATAGCATGTCGATAGCAAATTTGCTAAGGCTAGGGTGGCGATCGCGGAGTTCTACCCAGTATTTTATAGGGTCGACGCCCTCGCCAGCGATCGGTTCGCTGCGTTTCCAAGCCTCATATTCATCTTCCTCGTTCTCCGTAAGCCCTGCAGGCTCAATAAAGTTGTTGATAAAGTTGCCGCGATTTCTGGAGCATTAACGCGTGTTCTTTTTGCTGGCATTATAGCAACGGCGAGGTAGATAGTAGCTGCAAATAGAGACGCGTTGATGGAGTATAGATGAGTGTGGTGGGTGATAAGTAGTAAGTGAAGTGTCGCAAAAGGAGAATATTGTTGCCAGGCGGTTAGCCGGAAATTTAGTAGCTTATTTGCTAGAAATATAGCAAAAAAGAGTGTATTTTATGTTATAACTAGGTTTCGAACTTACGCACTACACCTAAAAATCATCGTGAGATTGCCCCTCCACCAAGTCCTTCAGCCCCAAGTTTCCAACCGCCCCATCTAACCAAGCTAAGCAAGCTGACTGAGCGAGCGCCTATCCCTAAGCTCGCTCGGCTTGCAAGCGCGCATTGCGCGCTCAGCTCATTCGGCTTGGTCAAAACGTCCAAGCCGAGCGAGCTGAGCGAGCCGGCTCGCTCGTTGACAAGTATGCTGGCAACAGAGGTTGATGACATGGCCCAAGCAACGCAGCCGGCGATGACGACGTTGTTTTGACTTCATCCATGGGCAGAGATCCTTGAGTATAAACTCAACAGCGGTATCATTTGCCGAGGCATTATCCAGCATAAAGTATCCAATCTGATCTCCGCTAATGTCGTATTCTTCCAGCAATTCAAGGACCACCGATCCAAGATTCTCTCCAGTATGTTCGCCGTATATACGTCGCATACCTAAAGCGGTAACACGTCGCATGCCGGTAGTATCAATCCACATAGCGACGACGCCTAGGATAGCGTAAGGGTTTGGTGAAGTCCAGAGATCAAAGGAGATAGAGATCCTACTCCGTGAATGGTGTAGGTCCTCCCTAAGCTGTTGCTTCTTCGATATGAATGCATTCATTACCCAGCTTCGGATAGTCTTCGCAGCCTTCGGGAGGTGGTTGAGTAGTGCCGGATTTAAAAAGAGGAGTAGTTCACGAAAGTACTGGTTCTCTAATTGAAAGAAGGCGATATGGCAGTACACAATCCAACGAATTAGAAGCTCTTTAAACTTCTCTACTGACTCCTTCCAGAAAAAGATGCTGGAAGCAGCCCCATCCTTTTGCTGGTCGATTATAGACTTCCGTACAGAACCCTTTCGCTTGATGCCACTCTGGGGATCAATCTGGTGCTTCTGTTCCAGGTGATTCCGGATCCTAGAAGTGCCATTGATGACAAACAACTCTTGCTTGCTCTTCCCAACCCTGCACTCATGGCAGTAATACACCTCTTTCTTATCGCTATCTCGAATGTATTGGAGTCCGTACTTCCAGATGTGTGATGTACCTTGACGGAAATCCTTCCTTGCAATTATTGCACGTTTCACGTACGTGATACCGCCCTGCACGAACTCATCTGGAGATTCGTGATATTGAATAGGAGTGGGTGATAGTATAGGGGTGGGTGATGACGTGGGGATAGGAGATGGAGTAAGAGACGTTAAATCTAGTCTTATAATATTCGATGGGGACGGTGAGGTTGGTGTTGAAGGCTCCATAACAATAGTATATAAGTAGGTTGTTAAGGACTTGATTGTTCTATGTAAGTAGAAGACTTACCTTGATCTTAATGACTCATATTGTGCTAAATTTTCTGGCTAGATTAGTCTAAGATCTAGTCACGTGGACCTATTTATAGCCGGACCGGTCCGATCATCTAGACCGGTCCGACCACGGTCTCAAAAAATCGCCAGACCAGACCAAGTCTTGGCGGTCTAGACCAGACCAAGACCAAGTCAGACCAGACCATTCCGATCACTGGATTATAGCTCCATAGTATCAAAGAATATATAATTAAATGTGATTTATTCATATAGCCGCTCAAGCTCACCATCTGTCCTCGATTGAGGGTGTTGTAGTATTCAGGGCGCCCACTGAGCACTTGGACGGCTACTAGCCTGTGTTGGGATCGTCGGGATTGTTGGTCACAAAGATCTCGACATCTCGTATGCAGCACTCATGTGCGCGATCTCCTCGGCGGCTTTGTGATCGAGGTGTTGTTTAACGTTTTGTGCTGGCGTCAGCCACTCTCTGCTAGGCCGCTGTAAGCCTTCGCCGCGACATGCTTCCTGCTTGGCGACTGAAGAGTGAACGAATGCCGGTAAGACTCAATTATAATCTGCGGATGACTCGCCGATCAGCCAGTGTTGCCCTACCCTTATTCGTCCAATAACGGTCGCGCAGTTCATTGCGACGGGCGATACATCGAAGCGAGTTATATCGCTGCAATCCTCCAATGCCGGCTCAAGCACTTCGTCCGCCCAACTCGAGCAGGTTCAAGTCAAAGCAGGCAATGAGTACACCATAACACTTACACCTTGGCGTACTACACTGGAAAACCATCGATCATATGACTTTGACGAGAGCTCTACCGAGCTTTTCCACTTTTACCTCCCCGGCGAGATGCGAATACTTTGCGCCCATGGCAAAGAACGGAGTAGCCCTGTCGCTTGGGACTAGACCTCATAGAGTCGCCCATCTGTAGTAACTTGAAATAGTTCTTTAATCAATTCTCGAACAGCTTTGCAGAAAGAATGGGCATGAAGCGTGTGCTGTCACCATGTAGCAGCATAGCAGACGCTCTGCCGTCTAAGGCGGGAGCAGCTCGTATAGAATGACAGAAAGTTACAGGTGGATGTTCGCGTTGTCGACGTAGAAAGAATCTCATCTGCTGGCTATGAAGTCCATTCTCCGTTATTTTTCGGTAGATTGACTGCTTTCTTTGCGAGTAAGAGTTTAACGACGGTACTGTGCTTGCTTCTTGCTAAGTCTGATAACAACATTCTTAGAGTCGTCTTTTGAGTATGGGCCGACTCCACGGTTCGCGAGTCGTGTCTCGACCATCACGTGTCCTCTTTCTACCACAAAGGATAATGGTGTCCTCCTTT